TGGAGTCTGAGGCTTGGGGGCCCCAGGGGGCTTCCAGCTCTTGTAGATTTATATATGTTCCTCAGTGGTGTTAGACTTTTACTGGTTAATATCAGAACTTTGTCTCTGATCCATGGGTGTTTTGCATTTTCTTTTCAGTTCTGTGTTGGATTATTTGTTGTTCCCACCACTTAAACTCTGAACTGGAACTAATTTGTTGTCCTTTGCTTACTTCTAAAATGTGGAACTTCCTGTGGAGACCAGCACTTGAGCTCTGTGGTTTAGTTAAATTGCTGCTTTAGTTTAATTGCGGATTCTCTGGGGAAGGTTTTTTGTGCAGCTCAGGAAACACTTCCGGGTCTTGTGAGGTTCAATACACCTGGGTTGTATGGAAATTCTGGTCCCGACCTGAATCTTTTCAGCAGACTGTATCCCTGCAGTTCTGTGTTCCTGACCAATCTCCACTGAGTGTGCCTGTGCCAACTGGAGGGCAAATCAGCTGTCCATGCTGTGCCCCAGTGTTCCCCTGCTGGCCCATCTCCGCCATGGCCTGCACTCCAAACACTTCTGTGGGGCGGGCCCTGCGCAAGTCCTTTGTGATGACTCACTGGCCTTTGAGTGGCTCCTATTTTCAGTTGTTGTGCCCCCTCACTCCTATGTGGGTCCACAGGAACCCTGTCAGTGGTCAGGCTGGCCTGGGGGCCACCAAGACCCTCCTTTTCCCTGCAGTCTCCAAGCAACTTCATACGAAGAGCACAGCAGTGACTTTTGCCAGCTCTTGCTCCGTGCAATCACCAAGGTCAGCCTTGAAGTGGCCAGGGCTCAAAATAGTCAGAGAGGTCTCTTCTTTCTCTCATCACAGCTTCTCCTGCCTTCATGAACTCCATAGGTCTCTCCTCCTCTTCNTCTTGCTCCGTGCAATCACCAAGGTCAGCCTTGAAGTGGCCAGGGCTCAAAATAGTCAGAGCGGTCTCTTCTTTCTCTCATCACAGCTTCTCCTGCCTTCATGAACTCCATAGGTCTCTCACTCTTGCTCCGTGCAATCACCAAGGTCAGCCTTGAAGTGGCCAGGGCTCAAAATAGTCAGAGAGGTCTCTTCTTTCTCTCATCACAGCTTCTCCTGCCTTCATGAACTCCATAGGTCTCTCCTCCTCTTCCCCTAAGCTCTAGCTGTCTTTTATAAATTTATTCAACTGCAAATAAACATATCTCAGACCTTCTGAATTTGATCTTATGTTCTTATCCCCACTACCCCTCACTATTAAAGAAAATGTCCTCCATTTCCATGTCATTATATTGATCTTTAGTCTTATTAAAACTATTACAAAATTGTTTTTGTTTTGATAATTATATCTTTAATTTCCAGGAGCTGTTAAGAATTCTGATTATTCCTTTTTCCTAGCATTCTGAAGTTGCTTTTTGGATAAAATATTTTCTTGAATTTCCCTGAGGATATTGATTAGATTTTTTTCAAACATTTTCTTTTCTTCATGCATTCTTACTTTTTCTTTCAGGGTCCTTAGAAAAAGACATACTGAGTTGGTAGAAGAGTTGTTGTGGATGTGGTTTTCCTGTGTAGTTGTTAAGTCTTTTTTCTTTATAGGCCTCTCTCGGGTCAGAGTGCTGATTATAGTTTTTGTGTAAAAGGATGGGGCCTGTTAATAGCCAGATTTTCTTGTAGGATGCCTATGCATGGAACAGGTAGGTGGTTTGGGATTGCCATAACTGCCAAAGCAATAGGACTTTATTTTGGAGGTGGATTTCAAATACTCAGTAAATGCTACTGTTGTCACTGCAGGAGATAGTGATAGTAGTAATAATGTCTTAACGCTTTGTGACTGATTGATATGTATCAGGTGCTTTTCTGAGTGTTTTATGTATTTGAAGTCATTTGATCTTCATGGCAATCTGATGTAGAAGCTGAAGCACAGAAAGGTTAATTTTTGGTTAAAAGGTTAACTAGGTTTTTAAACCAAGTAGTCTGCTCTGAAGTACCCATGCTCTTAATAATGGAACATGCTCTTTTTTAAGGAAGGAGCATGTAGGAAATGAGCAATTGTTGAAGGAGATTATCAGCATTGTTCTTATGTGTGGAAATGTTAGATTGGTCAAGCCGTCATCACTGAAAAATCTTTTAATTCTGTCCTCACAGTTACTCATTGATTATCTTTTTGTGTACATGTTACTCATGAGTTTTAATTGTGGCCATTTTACTTACAGTTTATTCCAATGCCAGTTCTGTATGGTGTTTTCCTTTATATGGGAGTTTCCTCATTAAAAGGAATTCAGGTAAGTCTTAAGTATTTAATGATTTTGTAGGAAAACGTGAAAATAAATTTGCAGAGATTGTTTTTATGATGGTGGTGATTTATTCTCAACTCTGATATCTCGGGGGCTGGTTAGTTTTCTTACTCATGACTTCAAATTCACATTTGCCAGTGATTATTGCTTACTGCACATTTTTTTCCAGAGAATGAGATCATGTACTGACATGGTCCTTACCTGTTTTTAATTTGAAGCCAATGAAAGGTCCTGTAAATCTCAATAAAGACTAATATAGCAAGAGGGAGGATCAAAAGGATTGGAATGGGGAAAAAGTGCTGTTTCTAACATGTAGTACTTAGAAAGAAAAGGTAGATAATAGTTTCCTATAAATATGGTAATAACCTGCCATTTGTATAGCACAAAACTGTTTATAAGGCCTACCACATAAATTATTTTCTGTGCTCCTCAAAACACCAGTTGGGAAAGAGGAAACGAAGAAGTCTTAATTTCATATATCACGAAGCAGAGAAATATAGGGACTTACTGAAAGTTGTTAGCTAAGTAAGCAATGGAGCCAAGGCTAGAACCCTGTGATTTCACTATTTTGTTTTGTTTTATTTATAATACTTCCTGGAAAACAACCTGATAAAACTTAGTACAGTTTGTATGAATCAAATTTTATTTCATTTTATTTTTTTTTGGCAGCCGGCCAGTACAGAGATCTGAACCCTTGACCTTGGTGTTGTCAGCAGCATGTTCTACCCAAGTGAGCTAACCAGCCAGCCCATGAATCAAATTTTAGCATAAAACATTTAGGTCATAAAGCACAGTTAGCACCACATGACCACCTCTTATCATGAAAAGCATGTTGTCTAAGATTGCCAACTAACAGGCTAGTGGCTGGTAACGCTGCTTCTCAAAGGTAGCATCTTCGTTTTTTCAGTACCGTCCAGGATCTGCTCTCCGTTGGTCAGGAAGTGATCTCATTAAATCATTTGATTTTTGCAATATTTCGTGAGGTGGGTAGGGCTGATCTTATTCCTAATTTATAAACAAGGAAATTAAAGTTCAAAAAGACCAAGGAATTTGCTCAAAGCCTCCTTTTTAATGAGTTAAGAATTGGTATTGTTACTTCAAGTTATGTTCACGGAATTGGTGGTGTTAGAATTGGAAAGAACCTTAGAAGGCATTAAGATTGTTAATCTTTTATTGTGTGTATTAGAAAACAAGTTCAGGGCCGAGCCCGCGGCGCACTCGGGAAAGTGCAGCGCTGGGAGCGCAGCAGCGCTCCCGCTGTGGGTTCGGATCCTAGGTGCGCTCACAGCGCTCACTGGCTGAGCGTGTTGTGGCCAGTCTCAAAAAGGAAAAAAAAAAAAGTCGGGAAAGTGCAGCGCTGGGAGCGCAGCAGCGCTCCCGCTGTGGGTTCGGATCCTAGGTGCACTCACAGCGCTCACTGGCTGAGTGTGTTGTGGCCAGTCTCAAAAAGGAAAAAAAAAAGAAAAGAAAAGAAAACAAGTTCAAAGAGATTAAATGACTTGTACATTTGATTATAGGAGATAAATTTATCTTGGCTGGAATTTTCAGATTAAACTAAATGCATTAGTTCAAATGAATGCCTAGATTTTTTTTTTTTTTTCTTCCTTCTTGGATCCAGGGATTCTTTGCTGAGACAATTCTCCTACTATCAAAACATATCAAGGAAGTTGTAGTTTAAATTTAATACACAAAATCCTAGGGTTGAGTATAACTTCTTTTCTTAAATAGCAGGAATGGTATTTTGTTGGAAACTTTTTCTTTTCTTTTGTCCTTCTATACATAGTTTTTTGACCGTATAAAATTATTTGGAATGCCTGCTAAGCATCAGCCTGATCTGATATACCTCCGTTATGTGCCTCTCTGGAAGGTCCATATTTTCACAGTCATTCAGCTTACTTGTTTGGTTCTTTTGTGGGTGATAAAAGCTTCAGCTGCTGCAGTAGTTTTTCCAATGATGGTAAGTTTTTTCCAGACTTATTTTGTAACTAATTAATAACATAATTATGTGTGTTTCAATAGTAATTTTTAAATTAAAATTTATAATTGATTTTTTAAAAAATGAATAGTTTGTTTTAAGCCTCTTAGTTGTTTGAAAATGTAGATTAACTGTTTCCAGCTATAAATCAGTTGTTATCCAATGTGAATTTTCTTGTCATTTTCTAAATTTTCATTTGTTTTTTTTTAGTCCTTGGACTTTAGAACTGTTTTGTATTTTTAAACAACTTTAGAATTTAGGATATTTATGGAACAAATATCATAGTCAAATTTTAAAAAGCAAAGCAACCGAAACAACATGGTTCTGTAATAGGATATTTCAGTGTATTTTTTTCAGAAATGTTTCAGATCTAGAAGTTAAGAAGTAATGAAGACTATAGATGACTTTAATAAGATAATCAATATAATTAAATTGTACAAGTAATGAATATTCATCCTTTTGTAAATATGTAAAAATTGATTATGTACATGGCCACAAAGAAAACCTTAAAAAAATTAAAATGCTATAAAAATTATTTAGGGTAATATTCCCTGATGACAATTATATTACAAATAAATAATGGAAAGATACTAAAATAATCTTATGTGTTTGGAAATTAAACACTGTTCTAAATAATCTGGGTAGAAAACTGAGTTAAAAAACTGTAGAGATTTATTAAAGTGGAGAACTTCATAAGCACAGAGGAAGATGTGTACTCTTCATTGCCTTTATTATCCAAATATTTGTTATTAAAATAAATGCAATCAAGCTTTTGATTTGTAAAGATTAGTACTTTATCAAAAGATAAACCCCTCCCAAGCCCAAGTAAAGAAGAAAATTAAAGACTGAAATATATACAAGGTTAGGAAAGAGAAAAGACATACTAATACAGCCACAGATATGGAAGAGGTTCAACGGGTTTTAAGAAAATATTACACGCATATATAACGATAGATTTGAACATCTAGAGTTGGGATCAACCAACTTTTTATCTGTAATGGGCCAGATAGTAGATATTTTAAGCTTTGTAAGCCATGAAAATATTATGTAGGTATTTGTATAATAAGAGAGAAAAACAAATTTCTATAACTTCTTATTAATGAAATTTAAAAAATTGTACAGTTTTTTAAAAAATGCAGGACTACTAATGAGAAGAGTGGAATTTTTGGGAGGGGATGATATTTCACTTAATTGGGGTTCAAGCTCTCTTCTCTACCATCAGATTAATTCTAAATGTTCTTCTATGGAAACCATTTTTAGCTCATAGGCTGTACAAAAATAGATGGTGGACCAGATTTGTCCCTGGGGTGTGGTTGACCAACCCCTGCTATAGAAGGATAATTTCCGTACTATACAAAAATTTACAGTATTGACCCAAGGAAAAATATAAAACCTACATATAGTCCAGTTGCATAAAAGAGACTGAAAAAATGGTTAGAGATCTGCTCTTAAAGTACCAGGCTCAGATTGCTTAACAGCTTAATTTTAAAGAACAGGTAATTACAGAACTTCTTGAATTATTCTAGACCAAAGGAAAAAATGGAAAGTTCTCCAATTTTTTTCATGAAATACTAGCAAGATCTTAGTACCAAAGCCTAATTTAGTTGTAAAAACAATCTATGGTGACTTGTCATTTATATAAATGCAATAATGTTAAAAAAAATTAGCAAATTAAATTCAGTATGTCTTAGAGTAATATATCATGATTAAGTAGATAGACAGTGATACTTCAGCATCAGAAGAACCATCGACATTGTACTAGTTCATTTTCTGTTGCTTATAACAGAACACCTGAAATTGGGTAAATTATAAAGAAAAGAAATTCATTTCTTACAGTTTTGAAAGCTGGGAAGTCCAGGGTTGAGGGCACATCTGGGGAGGGCCTTCTTCCTGGTAGGGATGCTGCAGAGTCCTGATGCGGCGCAGAGCATCACATGGCAAGAGGGCTGAGCATGTCCGTGTGCTCTTTTTCTCTTATAAAGCCACCAGTCTACTCCCATGATAACCCGTTAATCCATTAACCCATTAATCTATTAATAGATTAATCCGTTCATGAAGGCATAGCCCTCATGATCCAATCAACTCTTTTGAGGAATTAGCTTCAACACGTGCTTTGGAGGGGACAAACATTCAACCCATAGCAAACATATTTGTTGAAAATGCTATTCTATGCACCCAATAACCCGAGTGACTGTAGTTAAAACCAGAAAAAAGACTAAAAGCCCTCAATAGAATTAATAAGAATTATGTTAGTGTGGCTGGGTTTATGAAAACATGAAAATAAGTAGATAGTCTGTATCTCAGTAATAATGCTAAAAATGGAAAAAAATCTCATTCATAACAGTGACCAGAAACCATAAAATACTTAGGAATATATTTTAAAAGAAAGACCTATTTAAAGAAAAAAATTTTCTAATAGTACTTTTATTAGTTGCCCAGGGCTGCTGTAAAATGTACCATAAACTGGTTGGCTTAAAATAACAGAAATGTATCATCTCAGTTCTGGAGGCTCTGTGGGGAGGGCCGATCTCCTTCTGAAACCTGCAAGGCAATCCTTCCTTTTCTCTTCCTAGCTTCTGATGGTTTGCTGGCAGTCTTAGGCATTCTTTGACTTACAGCTGCATGACAATAGTCTGCCTTTGTAATCAAATGCTTTTATTCCTGTGTGTCTCTGTGTCTTCTCATGACATGGCTGTTTTATAAGGACTTCATACAGTAATATTGTATTAGGAGCACACCCTACTCCAGTATGGTCTTATCTTAATCAATTGCAAACAATCCTATTTCCAGATAAGGTCATATTCTGAGATACCGGGGTTTGGACTTCAAATTGTCTTTAATGGGGGATAAAATTCAACCCATAACAGTATTAGCAGGTGTAAAATAAGACCTAGACAAATAAATATACCATGTTCTTTATTATGAATGCTCGTTATTATAAAAATTTCAGTTCTCTGAAAAATAGCATATAAATGTAATACAGTTCCAAGAAAGAAATTTCATAGAGTTTTATTTGAATATGTGTGTTAGGGCAGGGGGCAGTGTCACTGCAAACTGGATAAATAATTTTAAAACTTATAGAGAACAGTACATGCCAGGCCCACAACATGGATGGTAGAAATATTCTATATTGTGTTTGGGTGTGGATTACATGAGTATATACATTTGTCAAAAGCATCAAACTATACACATGTTATTTTCTACTTTATTTTATGTAAACTGTATATTCATTAAAAATTAAGCATAAGGCAAAATAAACACTAGAGAATAACAAAACAGAATTATAACTAAGAAGGATTTCTGGTTGGGGGTAGGAGTGGGGGACTTTGTTCCTGTGCTGATACTATACTGTTTTGATAAACAATATTTTAAAATTGCTGTCAAGTCAGTGTAGCCAACACAGTATGGAATTAGCGTAGGAATAGATAAGTAGATCAGAAAAATAGACTTATGAGTCCAGAAATTTATCTGAATATATAGGAATTTTATCATTTGAATACCATAAACAGATTATTTCATTAAAGGTGGAATTTAGTATATAATGTTGAAATATTTAACTATGTACTGGGAGCTAAATAAGGTTTACTCCCTATCTGATATGTGTTGAGAAGGAAATCATACATGAATTCAGGATTTTAATGGTAAAATAAATTGTAGTAGAAAATTAGAAGAATATTTGTGTAATCCAGTGACTGGGGTAACTTTTCAAAGAAGATAGGAAAACCCAGCTGTAAAAGAAAGATATATTTGACCACATGATAATTAAATGTTTTTTATAAGTTTAAAAAGTGTCAAAAACAGAGTAAAATCAGATTGTGAACTGGGAGAAAATATTTATAACATATAAGGCAGATAAAGGGTTATTATCCAAACCACACAGAACTCCTAAGAATTCATAAACAAAAGTCATAAAAAAAATAATAGAAAAACCAGGCAAAGGATAAGAAATAGCAAGTAACAGATGAGGAAATCCACATGGCTAATCAACATTTGAAACATGCTCTACCTCAGTAGCCGTTAAAGGAAAGCAAATTAATATGTCATATGATTGAAAAGCTAAAACCTAATGCTGGGAATAGGTACTCTAATGCATTGCTTTAAGAGATTTAAAAAATTATATATACTTATATAATGTATAGAATGTGAAGTCATAAAAATTAATAATTTTTTTTTTTACTTTGATGTTCACCACGCTTAACCTGATTTATAAGTTTAGACACAGTACAAGGGATTTATTCAGAATAAGAATTCCATTTCCTTTTTTCTCCCTTCATAGCTTTTTTTTTTAGCAGAAAATTCAAAAAAGGTAAATAGGTGACTCAGTTCCTTTGATGTTAATATGGTGTGTGGAATAATTTTTAAATAAATATATATGAAGCATTTTTCATTGTAAGATTTAATAAATACCCTTTCCTCCGCTTTAAGTGATATAATTTATATTATATGTTACTTAATATTTCCTCCCCCACTTTTTTAAGGTTCTTGCATTAGTCTTTGTACGCAAGCTCATGGACCTGTGTTTTACAAAGAGAGAACTTAGTTGGCTTGATGATCTCATGCCAGAAAGTAAGAAAAAGAAGGAAGATGACAAAAAGAAAAAAGAGAAAGAGGTAAAAAAAGACAAGGATTTTAAATTTATACCATTCCTTTCATTAATATTTTGTACCACATAGCAGGCACTAGTATATCACTTTCCATGAATCAGCTTCTTTAATCATTATAAGCACTTTAGAAAATTCCTCATTTTACGAATAAGGAAACTGCGGTAGAGAGAGGTTAGGTAACTTTGTCCCAAACATAGGCTGTTGCCCATTTCACCATTTTGCCCCTACATAGCCAACACAAGAATACTTTTAAAAAATTACGTATCATGTGTAGACTCACTCAACAATCAGGAGAATTAGAATTTTTGGCACTATTAAATTAGAGGTAACACAAAATTTTACATGATAGTTTATCATATGATATAACCTTAAATACATTAAGTACATTAATTTTAGCATGTATTTTAATTTTAACAGTATTTTAATAATATGGCATAAATAATGACAATAACAACTTTTAAATAAATGTCTTTTTCAAAAACGTGTAATAGGGCCGAGCCCGTGGCGCACTTGGGAGAGTGCAGCGCTGGGAGCGCAGCGACGCTCCCGCCGCTGGTTCGGATCCTATATAGGAATGGCAGGCGACACCTCACCAAGGGTTGCGATCCCCTTGCTGGTCACGAAAAAGACAAAAAAACCCCCCCAAAAAAACCGTGTAATAAAGCTTTAGTCTTTATATGCACTCTTATATACCACCATTAGTTAATTTATTATACTGAAATTTAAACTTGAATACTTTCATCTAAATTTCATCTTTGTTTTGGTTTTTAATAACCAACACGGTGCTATCACTAGTAAGAAGGAAAAGTAGAGACTGAGTATGTGGTAGAGATGGTTTTGTTGATTGTAGTGCCTTGCTCACTTTTCCCATCAGAATATTATTTGCAAGTCAAAAATAAGAAAGATACACATTTTTAAATGTCATAATCCTGTTTAAATAGAGATTTTTTAAAAATTACTGACTTTATGTTCACTTTTCAATAAAAACTATAAGTCTTTAATTAGGATACTAATTAGAATATTGATTTCAATTGAGGTTCAAAAACTTTAAGATTTCAACACTGAGGGTTGCGATCCGTTGCCGGACATGGAAAAAAGATAAAAGACAAAAAAAAAATAAATAAATAAAATAAGAAAGATACACATTTTTAAATGTCATAATCCTGTTTAAATAGAGATTTTTTAAAAATTACTGACTTTATGTTCACTTTTCAATAAAAACTATAAGTCTTTAATTAGGATACTAATTAGAATATTGATTTCAATTGAGGTTCAAAAACTTTAAGATTTTTGTTTTCTCCAGGATTATATACGTAAATATATATGAGCTTTTGGTGTTTTTTTTTCCTCAAAAATATAGATTCAGTGGCACATAACAGAAAACAAAAGTAAAAGTAGCTTTTAAACACAAGAGTTCTCTCATGTAAAAGAAGTTTTGAAAACAAATGATCTAATGTCATGGCCTCACTAAGTTATCAGGGACTCCTTTTTACTTTTCTCTTCTCCTTAGAATGTAGTTTCCATTTTCAAGTTTACTACATGGGTTAAAATGGCTGCCAAACTCTAGCTATCATTGTTAGAGACAGCAGGAAGGAGGAGGAGACAGAAGGCAGAACAGGCTTTACACTGCTGTTGTGTTTTAAGGAGTCTTTTCAGAAATGCTATCCAATCAATTCTGCTTTCACCACATGACATCACTGAAACGCAAGAATGCTGGGAAATTTAATTAAGGGGTTGTCAACTCCAAATAGTGGGATTTCCATTAGTACAGAAGAAGAATATAATGTTTTCTCAGTCTCTTCTCTAGGGCTGTGTCCCCACCCCCATGATTCACATGTCACAATTTTGGTCTGTGTTCACTATCCAAGTGGTTCTCAATCTGGGTGACTTCTCCCCAGGAGATGGTTTTTAAATGTCTGAGACATTTTTGACTGTCACAACTGGAGGGGCTGCTACTGGCATCTAATGATTAGAAGCCTGGGATGCTGCAAAATATCCTGTATGCACAGGACTTCTCCCTACAACAGAGAATTATTAGGATCGAAATATCAATATCACTGAGGCTGAGAAACCCTGCCCTTATCCAAGTGAGGTTTTGCTTATATTGTATTGTGTTGAGAGACTTGAGATTTAGCAAAATTTTCTCTCTCATTATATACCTACACAATGACTGAGAATTAGATTTATGTAGTTAAATTGATTTTTAAGTAGTATTAGTGATTTACTTATAGAAAGTTTAAAAATTAATTAAACTTAAAATTAAACTTAATTTTTAAAAGATTAAGAATTAATCTGTACAAGTGGTTGTTTTCATTTTATGCTACAAGTATGTGTTCATAATTGTAAAATGAATCTTTTAGTTTCGGCAGATATGTTGTATTTAAATAATACTGTCAGTTTGGGTTTCTAAGTAACTAAGGTGTTATATATTAACTGTTCCTCTTGGAAATAACTTGGAAAAATGATCTCTTTACATATGTGCTCTGAAGGAAGCAGAACGAATGCTTCAAGATGATGATGATACTGTGCATCTTCCATTTGAAGGGGGAAGTCTCTTGCAAATTCCAGTTAAGGCCCTAAAATATAGGTGAGATTTAACATTACTTTGTAAAATGTATTTTATATACATGCCAAATGCTTGAAGAAGCCATATAATGTTTCTTTAAAGTACTGATTTCTACTTTTAAAAAGATGATAAATCTTGCCTTTGGCATTTCAACTAAAGGAGAGCTTTGTGCAATGTGAGAAGGAAGCGCCTTGCTCCTTAACCACCTGGGCTATAGGCGGGAGAGAAGAAAAAGCTGGACTTGCGCCAGAGCCTTGAACTAACTTCTGTGACAAGCCATCGAGATTTACTTGTGTTCCTTTACTCCATCTGTCTCAGTGAAGTTTAAAACAGTACATGAGTCTCAGAATATTTCCATTCCCTCAGTAATAGAGCTTTTTTCTCTTTTCCCCCTTCACTGAGGTTGAGGTCAGTGTGTGTTGGAAAATAAACATTCGTAATCCATCTTCTGATAACCTTCCTAATATGGAACTATGTTTAGAAGCCCTAAAACTCTCCTTGTTTCCAAAGGTGTGATCTGATGATTGGCAGTGAGAAAGCTCATATTATGGAAAAAGAATGTTTTATGTATAATTTATCATATATGACTTTGATTTATATTTAAATTTAAGAATTAAAGATAGAGAAGATGGGAAATGCAAACTTTTTTTGTAGTTTTAAAAGATTAAAAACCTGTTATATATACATGTGATTCCTGTTCCTACACAACTATTCCATTGCTATTTAGAGTAATCAGTTCCTTCCCTGACCAGTTGATGAAAAGTGTTTGTTGGTATTAACTTTCTTCAATACTTTTAACTATTCTTTTTAGTTTTGACAGAGGTCACATTTGGACTTGTACATGTTTATTAGTTGTGCTAAATGAATTCATCAACTAATTTTCTAATATTCTTTTTGCTATTAGTTTTTATCATTGGTATTATTCTGTGTCACTCTTTGTAATTTTCCCTCAAAGCTTTATATACTCTAAATCAAATGCCAAGTATAGAGATCTTAATATATTCAGCTATAGTGCTCCTCTTCACTAGGTTTTTTAAGTGTTCATTAAATGAATTAATAAATTAACTTCATTGATGTACTTCGAACAAAGAGTATACGAACTGCCATGATGGTTATTAGTAACTCTCACCAATTTGCTGACATTATTTGCCACTTAATTTCTATGTCTTGCTTTATCACTTTCTGAGCATAATCATACACAGACCATGAAAAATTTAAGAGGAATCTGTGCTGTCTGATATTTAACAAAAAGAATGGATATCTGTATTTTTCCTTTGTCTTTAAGTCATGACATGAACAGGATTAATGCTGCTTTGCTTAAAATTTGAACATTAAGAATACCCAGAAATGGCTAATTTATTTGCCAGAATTTTGTATCTTTTTTTAAAAAATTTTTTCTATGGTTTTTTTTTTTTTTTTGGTTTCTTGTCGAAGAATTGAACCCTGGTCTCCCACGTGACAAGTGGGGATACTCACCACTGTACCAAAGAACAGAATATTTTATATCCTAAATAGTTTTAGATTACTTGCCATGAATATCAAATGAAATAATATATGAAAGCATTTAGAAATCATAAAGCCCTGTAAAATACAAAAATAATTTATATACTGCAGTAGAAGTTTTTCCCATCTAGTTTTATTTTGGGGGAAAACAAAGTACACATAGTTTTAGATTACTTGCCATGAATATCAAATGAAATAATATATGAAAGCATTTAGAAATCGTAAAGCCCTGTAAAATACAAAAATAATTTATATACTGCAGTAGAAGTTTTTCCCATCTAGTTTTATTTTGGGGGAAAACAAAGTACACATTTTCTTCAAAAAAAAAGTGTTGATTTCTGCTAATGAGAAAGTTCTTACTTGGAGGAGGATATTTAAGAAGCTAGAAACTTTGACAGGAATTCTTTTCTTCAGTTATTTGAGGTTGACAACCAAGTGAATAAATGTTTGTTCAGGGTAGGCAGAGTTTCAGGTTGGATGGCTCTGCCATTGGGAACTTGGGCATTCAAATTTTGTGTATTTCTTAAAACAATGACTTGGTGAAGGTAAAGCAGCCATTCATAGAAGACTTTTCAATGACCATGTCACACTTCTCTGCAATCTTAAATTTTAAATAACATTCTGATTTAAAGTATGAACAAAACTGGCACTTTGTAGAACTCAGCTTGCCATCACACTATTAATTTAACATTATCTAATTGGACATTTTTATTTGTAGCTTGTTTGCATGAAATGATATTCTTTTGGTGAAGAAAAAGGATTTATGAATATGTTGCTATTAACTTTATAGTACTTTCATATCACTTGTAATTGACAACCTTGAACCCAAAATTAATTATTTATGGATATCATCATTATTGGATTTGGGGTCTTGAAATAATTTTTGTACTATTTCGTAGAAATATAGAATGGTTACATTTGTCCCTTATTGTAATAAATGGACAGTATTCTGTTCTTTTGCTTTTGATAAATTTAGTAAAATAACACCTTGACACTGAAAATCTGAAATGCCAGCCAAAATTGGTGTTTGTAAGAGTTTTTGTATTGATCTGTTGCAATATTTTCAGAACTTTGTTTTCAGTCTTATTATTCATTTAGTTATTTGATGGCCAACCAGTATGGGGATCCAAACCCTTGACCTTGGTGTTATAACACTGAGCTCTAACCAACTGAGTTAACTGGCTAGCCCGACCAGCATTCTTTTTAATGATTTGTAGAAGCTATGGAAAACAAGGGGTTAAAAAAAAAATCATAATCTTAATTTATTCTTACATACTTTGGATATTTGTTTAATAAGATTGAAACTTGTGCTAATATAAAAGTTTTCTAGTTGATTTGAGGCATTTTTAAAAATCGTTTTAATAGTATACTTATAGCCAAGATGGTCAGAGGGCAGCATTGCTAGAGTACTGCTGAAGTGTACTACTGAAGCCCCAAATTGAATTCTGAAGCGAAGTTCCATAAATAAATCTTGCTAACTTAATTAATCTTACTCCCAGTTTTGATTATAAAAAACGATCTAATTCTCCATGAGGCCTTTATAACAGAACTCTAAAATTCTGATAATCCTGCTAGACCTTTAAGTGCATGGCAAGGTGTTTCTAAATTTTAAGTTGTTGAAAGCAAATAATAATATAGATAATAAAAATGACAATATTAATGCTTTTGCAAGTACTGAATACTAACCAAAAAGTGTATTTATTCTTCAGTGTTGATCCCTCAGTTGTTAACATATCAGATGAAATGGCCAAAACTGCACAGTGGAAGGCACTTTCCATGAATACTGAGAATGCCAAAGTAACCAGATCTAACATGAGGTAGTTATAACTATTTATGCGTTTTTCTAACAATACCCAGTTTTCAACTTATGGATAGCTATGCAATAAAACCATTAAATTTAATATAATTTATCTAATTTATATTCTCCTTACTTCACAAAACTGGTCTTCCTTTCTCCTTGTCTTCATTCCTTCTTTGGTTACTCCATCATTTTACTGTATATTGGAATCAGATATAGGTATTGATTATGTTTTGTTGTTTTTTAATTTATAGTTGCCTATTTTGAAAAATAATTTGCGCTATTTTGTAATAAAAATAAATTTTATGTAGGAGTATGGAATAAATATGTAAAAGATCAAAAACTGATAAAGAAAGATAATTACTAGGCATTAAACAAACACCATAATTGAGTACTACCTCATTCATGCTTTCTGATGGTCCAAGAAAAAAGAAAAATACAATTGTTTTCCTTCTTGTGTTGTGTTTTGTTTTGTTTTGGCGTAACATTTCTTCAGGTGAGGTACACGTCTTTCCTTGAAGATATTTGGGAGAAATTTAATCCATTAATAAAAAGGACATTCAGTTTTATAATGGACCATGTATTGAAACTGTTATACGAGAGTACTTCAGAAAGTTCATGGACAGATTGTATTTCCATTCTATTTTTTCCACAAACTTTTTTTTTTTTTTTTCCTTTTTGTCTTTTTTTTTCATGACCGGCAACGGATTGCAACCCTCAGTGTCACGCCCGGACCGGACCGGGACCAGCAACGGGATCGCAACCCTCGGTGCCGCCCCCGCACCTCGCTCAGCCAGTGAGCGGCCGGTCTGTATGTGGGATCCGAACCCTCGGCGGGAGCGCCGGCGCGCTTCCCAAGCGGCGCACTGTAGCAGTGCGCCACCAGGCCGGCCTTTCCACAAACTTTTTGAAGTACCCTTGTATACCCCTTTACACTTTTTGTTAATATAGCCTTTTCTTTTGCCCTCACTTCAAGGCCTGAGCTCTCAGGGATTCTATTTTGATAATCAGTAGTACTTTAGTCTCTTAGGTCTCTGAAGAAACGAGGTATTGACCTGTTAGGGTAGGTAGTCATTCATATTCAACAAATTACTTTTGTGTACAGCTTGTGCCATATGCTATGTTGGTTGTCCATATATTATGCTTGGGCATCAAATCAAAACTTTTCCAGGCAGGTAACCACGTAGTTAATTCTGTTTAGTTGCTGCCTTTCTGAGCTCTGTCTTCTGCTAATTAGCTTTTTCTCATTCTTTCCCTCACTCTTTTTAGAACCATTATCCTGCTTAATCTCTGTCATCATATGTTTTTCTTTGTATCATTTCTTGAATTCTAAATTTTTAAGCTGGGCTGTTTCCTTTCTTTACTTCTGTCTTTACTCTTGAAAGTTTTAAATTTAAATTTGTCATTTTGTGTCATTTCATGCAGCCCGAATTTCACTTAATATTCTTTTTACTCTTAGTAATTTTTCACACCTTGTTAGCACCCGTGGATTTGTCAGCATCTGTGATTGTTAGTATAATTATGATAAAAATAAAGGCCTTACAATAATATTAACATATCATTTATACTTCTATCTTTCATTTGGGTTGCTCCTCAATTTAAAATCATATTGGAAGAAAGAGAATGTCTTGGCTGTGTTATTTTACAGGGGAACTTTCCTTCGGTTTGTCTGGAGAAGGCAGCAAACCATGGTGTGTTTTTATACTTTTTGAAAAATATTTTTCAAAGCCCAGATATTTATGTGTTACAGTTAAATTAAATTCATATTCAAGAAGTCATTGTGTTTGAATATAGAATAGGTGTGTTTGGGGAGAGATGTTTTATAAATTTGTTACCTTTTGTAGGAAATTATTTGATGCTTATCTGTATTAACAAAGATTCATATATTAGTGAATTTGTCAGTGAAAAGTCAAATGGTATAATTCTGTTCATACATGCAGTAAAACTAATAAATCAAACCGTAGTCATATACTGACCAATTTTAAGAACCCCGCTGTTCATTGTTAAGAAAAACATGATTTAGTTGCTAACATGCATTTTGCAACTGTAAATTTTTTTAAATGTAAGAATTTTTACTATTTGCCTTTTCAGTTAAATTTACTGATATTTAAAAAAAGCAGTAAAATTATAAAAGCTGATCATAAGTTTGTAATAGTCATCTCAAAGGTCTTAATATAGATTCTCATTGTTGGCCATGTTAGAATCTAATTTTTGTCTGTTTAAAAATCATTTATTCTCATTCTTTGTTTTAAATAGCCCTGAAAAACCTATGAGTGTGAAAATAGATATTGAAGATGAACCAGCAAAGAAATACATGGATGCTGAAACTTCATTATAGAATCAAACCAAGAGGAATTATATGTAGAGAGAGATATATATATATAAAGTGTGTGTGTCATGTCACTATATATATGTCATGCTATTTGTGCATGACTACTAGGTTTTTTTTTAAGTAGTATCTAAAGTTTGTTATGAGCACCATGGAGACTGTATATAATCAAATGGTCTCTTAGAAGTGAGGTACATGGTTCTTACTATTCAAATATTTATTCTGTTAGAAAAAACTTTTCTTGTACTGCAATAGACACGTGGGGAATGCATTCAATCTACTTTTCTTAAATCTCTGTTCATTAATGGCAGTTCATACCAACCTTAAGTGATATGTACTTTATCCATATATTTACAATTTTTACTGGAGTTTCTAAAAATTTTCACATAGTATTTCACTTTTGTTAGTGCTTTAAGGGAAGAACAGGGAGTCTTTATGCCAGTGCTGTGGAGAGTATGGTAACATGTCCTGGCTTCTCTGAGTGTGTGTTTCTTTTATGTACATGTCCATCTTGTTTCACAAATGGTGCCATTTTCTTGGCCACAGAGGTGAATGTAGAACAATGGAAACTTTCTAGATAAGAGCTATAGTTTTTAACCTTTATGTTTTAGAAAATGTTTTAAATCTTAAAACCATCACATCTCATTTTCCATTCTGACAGACAAGTAAAATTGCAGGTGATTTCATAACTTAGCACCCATCCTAGTCAAAACTATGAATTTTAGAAGCTATACAATACCAGTTTGCAATGGTTAAATTTTGTTGTCTTTGTAGAAATTTTTTTCTGAATCCTTATGGTTTTTTAGAGTCCATAAGTCCTGTTCTCTGCCTTTGCTGTTTTTTACTTAAAATAGTTTAGTTTGTATCAGGTTCAAGTTCTTGATTATTTTTCTGTTCTTAGTATGATTAAATAATCAGGAGTCAGAATTCTCTCAGATGGGTTTATGATCAGTATTACTTTATAAAGAATTACCTTTCATTTTCTGTTTGTTATTCTTTCTGTTGTATAGATTATATTTAATACATTGTTATCCACGATTTCATTTTAAACTATTTTATTTATTTGAATTGGTATGATGCTTAAATATTATATAAACATTTAAAAAGGTAACACATAGAGTAAATTGTTAATGTAAATAGTTGGTGCTTGCTTGCATTTATGTTTATTGTTTGAAAGAGGTTGATGGATTTTACACCTTTGATATAAAGCACTGCCGTATTTGTATTTTAAAAGCAAATTAGACATTTTATGTATATCTCAGATTGATGGCATTCTTCCTATTTTGTGTATTTGTTATTTAGTTTTTGCTTTTCTGAGCTTTTTAACTTCTAGCACATCTTTTTAGTCATTTTTTACATACTCAACTCCACATGAAATAAATAAATGTTGTTCTTGTTAAGCCTGTAGGACTGGATGGATGGGGTTGTGAAACTGATTTGGCAAGAGAATAATTTACAAAAACCAAATGAGTATTGAGAAGCCACAGAAATATTGAAAATGGTGACATGAATGAAAATTTTAATGAAATTCCAATGTTCCCTTAAATCATTTATAATTAAGGTACAAAAATATGAAGAATTAATCTTATAGAGGATCATGAGGAATGCCAAAAGCTGATATTTTTAGCAGTTCTGAAGTGTTTTTAATACATTCTAAACTACTTATTTACTAATGTCATTTCCCCATCTGAGACCATATTGTCAGATTCTGTTTAAAATAATGGATTCAACTTCTTCCTCAGATGGGAGGTTGGAAATATAACTGCTTTTCTTTAGAGAATATATGCTGGCATCATTTGGTACTGCCTAAAAGAGTTAGACTCTTTTGGCAACTGATAAGAGAGTATTATCACGGTGCTTGTTATTGTTTAAGAACTTCCTTTGAAGTGATTCCTTTTTATTCATAGCAGCATAATCATTTCCAAAGACCCAGTATTTGCTGCTATTTTTTAAACTCCCATGATGTACCTGAACAAGAGGATTTCCTCACATCATTTCCTTGTGTCTGGACATCAAAGGGTTCACAACTGTACTTGTTTCACAGGAAGTGATTTTAAAATTTAAACTGAAAACTAACTGGGATCATAGTATTTTTGTGATTTTATTTAATTATGTATAGTAATTATCCAGTGCCAGAAAAACCATGACTTGTAAAATACTTTGCATTCAAAATGTTTTTACTGTGTTTCTCATTGTTAATGATTTCTGCTTTCTTTTGACTACTTGTCTTACAAAATGATCTGATATGACTATTCCATTGAAGAGCAAAGGTAACTCATGTTAAGTAATTAGCTGCTTATTTTAAGTAGTTATGATATTTATTCCACTATTTTTGAAAAATAACAATCATGGATAGCATTCATTGCAAGACAGTGAAAGAAAAAATTTAATACATGTATTGATTTTAAAATGTTGCCTTAAATAGATGTGTATGAGCAGTAGTAATTGCTATGCACTCATTTACCTCATGGTGCAAAACAATTAAACCTGTACATATCCCATTTACAAAATAAATTCAAATAAACGGCCCAGCACTTTCTTAGATGCCTTGATTTCCAGAATGGAGCTTAGTGCTACTGAATACCCTGGCCACAGAGCCACCTCAGGATATTCTTTTCTCCACCCTATTTTATTTATTTATAGATGTCTGTTTACAAAGACTATAATAAATCTTGATATTGACCATCTGAAATTTACTTTCTTCTGAATGCTATTTCAATCTAAAGTAGCAGCTTTTGAGAAAACAATGAACTAATTTCCTTATGTTAAAAGGATTATTCTGTATATTCTTTAATAATATTAGATATGCTGAGGTGAAGCACACAATCTTTCTAGAGAGAGAGAGTGTGTGTGTGTGTGTTTACACGCGTGTGTATGTTATCAATCTTAAATCTCTTAAGTTGTTTTAAAAAGCTGTGGCATACCAGTGTTCGTATTTGCCAAGTCTTCTGTAAAAACATGCAGGACAAAATTTTTTATATGCTAATGCATGTATTCATAAAGCAAATTTGTTTACTATTCAAAATTATTAATTTTTGTTTTTTTCCATCCATAAATCATTTCTGTTACTTCCACATACTTAAAGTTTCTGTGTGAGTATAATACCTCTCTAAATTTTTCCTTTTACAAAGGCAGGTTCAAAATTCTGTAAAAAGAAAAATACTCTCTGAAAGTGAGGTATAACACCAGAGCTTGCTGTTTAAAGGATCATTATCATGTACATCAGTTCTGTAAATGTGCTCAACAGTTTAACATGTGAATTCTGTTTTAAAGTGCTCAGATTTTGGATGTGTAAGCCATTGATATAACATTGTAATTCAAAAATGTTTATATTAAATAACTTAATGTTTTAAATTTATTTATGTAGATCACATCATTATTGTATCAGTGCAAATATGTGAAATGTGTTTTGGTTTATTACAACAATTATTTATTTTTAGAAGATAAATTTAAAGACTTTAAGGACATTCAAAGTTTAATATAGTGTTCAGATTGCAAAATTAAGCAATTTTAATGTACCTCTTTTCTAACTATTCAAAAAGTAAAATAAGTGTCAGTTATAGGAAAACATAGTTGGAAATGAAATCATCTAAAGATCACTTTTGGGCCGGCCCGGCGGCGCACTGCTACAGTGTGCCGCTTGGGAGTGCGGCGGCGCTCCCGCCAAGGGTTCGGATCCCACATACAGACCGGTTCCCGCTCACTGGCTGAGCGAGGTGCGGGTGCAGCGCCGAGGGTTGCGATCCCGTTGCCAGTACCGGTCCGGTACGGGCGCGACACTGAGGGTTGCAATCCATTGCCGGACACACACACACAAAAAAATAAAGATCACTTTTAAGATGAAATTTAATTAGCACGTTGATTTCAACATTTGACTTAGAGTAATTGTTAAAGCCCAGTTTTGTTTTGTTTTAATAACATTTTTTGCACATTGATTGGTTTTGTGTTGTAGCTTTTCTTTTGTTGCTTTATTATTCACAGTTTTTGTTTTTTGCGGGGGGAAGTTTGTCTTCCATTGTTTACTGTGTTTAAATAAGCAAAAATTGAATTTTATTGTTCATTTATATAATATTTGATACCTGGGTGTAATTTCACAGTACAGTTCTGATTTTTATGACTTTTATAATTACAGTGATATTTTCTTTTGTAATAAAATCCAAAGTAAATTAAACATTTAAATTGTCGAACCGATATTTTTAATTTATACGAAGTACAAGTCTCTACCAAGTCTGTAATGTGAATGATCCTGCCTTTCAAATTTGTTTCATAATTGTTAGAAGAAAACTATTTTTTTGGAGATGTTATTGAAGTTGATTGAGCAATAAAAGTCTACTGAATTAGTCGTTGGTTATTATCTTCACTTTGTACATTGATTATTAGAAATTCTGCTTATCTTTCTCAGCTTGAGATGCAGTAGGGGAGGAAGGAAAGTGAGTGATTTCTGTTTTCTGCCTCCTCATATTACTATGTTTTGGTAGGAAAAAGATGGAAAAGAGGAAACAGTGAGAAAAAAAGATGAAACAAAATAGTGTGTTTCACAATGACATTTTGATAAGGAATATTGAAATGAAAGCCTTTCTCTAAAAAAGGCTGTTCTGTTTTTTTCCCTATTTTAAGATATCTGTTTACAAGTTTTCCTGTATGATATATAATGATTTGCATGATTATACTGAACCCTCTCACAGGATCAAGTCTTGTTTTTTGTTTGTTTGTTTGTTTGTTTNTACTGAATTAGTCGTTGGTTATTATCTTCACTTTGTACATTGATTATTAGAAGGTCTGCTTATCTTTCTCAGCTTGAGATGCAGTAGGGGAGGAAGGAAAGTGAGTGATTTCTGTTTTCTGCCTCCTCATATTACTATGTTTTGGTAGGAAAAAGATGGAAAAGAGGAAACAGTGAGAAAAAAAGATGAAACAAAATAGTGTGTTTCACAATGACATTTTGATAAGGAATATTGAAATGAAAGCCTTTCTCTAAAAAAGGCTGTTCTGTTTTTTTCCCTATTTTAAGACATCTGTTTACAAGTTTTCCTGTATGATATATAATGATTTGCATGATTATACTGAACCCTCTCACAGGATCAAGTCTTGTTTTTTGTTTGTTTGTTTGTTTGTTTGTTTTTAATGGCTAATTTTATTAGGAATTTTTCCCTTAATAGCAAATGACAGGTCTTGGCTTGTTTTCCATGTGGCACGTATGTGACGCTTTCCTCCTGTGTTTTCTGTACTGAAAACTTCTGATATCTTACCATGTGATTTTATAACCTTTGGAAGTAAGATAGGGATAGGTGGTTATGCTTGGAAATTTAGTTTGAAAATTTTGTTTTCGTTTATTTTAGGAAAAATATTTTTGTCAATTTATAATTCCCATCTGCAGAACTTTGAGACTTTTTTTTTTTTTTAAGGAGGAAAGGGAAACAGGCAGAAATAGTGAGTTTCTCACTCTTTTCTGTTTGATCTTGCTCATTAAGGCATATCTGATCTCTAGTATCAGTTCTTTCCATGGTTTACTTGTACATTCTTACATCTATGCTTTTAATGAAAACATTTTGGTTGTTTGGAAACCCTTCCTTTCTGCTTCTCTGTTTTTCTTTCAAAGCCCAAGTAAGTTCTGCCTTTAGTTCAGATTGTATTCGACCTTGTGCTTTCAGTCTACAAGATCATTCTTATTCCTCCACTTAAAGTGTGTGTGTGTTTAAATACTATTTTCTTGCCTTAGACCATTGATCTAGAGGCATTTTAGAAATTTTGGGAAGCGGTTTTGTCTTCTTGCTGAATTGATCCTGAATATCTATTTCAATGGATATTTAAGTTACCTTTATTTATGCTATAGTTAAGACATTATACTATTTTACTTTTGAACTATAAGAGTTACATTATGCATTCATTTCAGGAATGTAAAAGGGATATTAGAAAACAAATAAGGGGATGCTAGGCCTAATAAGTTTGAGTCCTACTACATAAGACATATGCTTGATGCAAGCATGATCCTTTATATATCTTTAGCGTATTATAGAGCACAATATGGGTCCTTAACACTTGGAGATGATAGTGCACCTCTCTTCTAGAGCCAGTGTCTTCCATGCTTCTTACATCTATGCAACTTTCAGTTATATTCAGGTAAGGCCAAAACATTAGTTTAAGACTTATTTTACGGAGAAGTAGAAAGATGGGAAGCACATTTGGTATTCTAATGAAGATTATAAGTTTAATGATGGTGTTCTGCCTCACTGTTTTATATTTAGTATGTATATAGAATATGTTACTTTTTCTACTCAGTGTCAGTCTTTCTATCTGTTACCTCTTTGTTTTTTGATTGGTAGCATTAATCTTGATAGTTATGTTCTCTGAAGTTTATGTAGTTCTATACCTGTTTGGCTTTTATCACACCTTTCTACATTTATGAAAGACCTTTTTAAATAAAAAATGCTTTAATTACACAAACCCAAGTATTGTTATCCCATTGGGTCTATTATTCAAAGAGAAACAGCGCAGGGTTCAGTGGATTAACTTCAAATCAAGTTTGGGGAGATAGAATCACCAGTGTTGACACACTAATGGGCATTTAGATAGTATTAAGATGGGCTTGAGTAGGACCCTGTAGTGGAAATAATGGTCAAGGGAACATCGTGGAGAAAACTGGGTTCTAGAGTCAAACAAGGTTCTACCCTGCCTCCATCCCTTACTAGCTCTGCCATGTTGTGCTACTTAGGAAACTTCTTGTGCCTCCCTTTTACAACTCTAAACAAGGATGAAAACTAATGACTACCAGATGATGTTATGAAGAATAAATGCAATAATAGGAGGAAAGAATTGGTAACAGTACCCAGCACAAAATTGGATGCTCCATAAATTTGGTATTTTTAATTTTTTTTTAAACTCCATATTGTCAAGTATCTTTTTTTTTTTTTTTGAACTTTATTAAACGCAATTCGAAAAAAAATTTTTTTAAAAGAAGCTTCAGACTTTCACAAAAGATGAAGTGATTTGCTGAAGGCCAAAAAATGAACTGGTGATAGGTGTACTATACAGATTCTCGAATCCCAGCTCTCTTATTTTCACAGTTCCGTGTTGTCATTGCCTCAGGCATGCAGTGCGCTTGAGTGACTGAAAACGTTTTTACGCCATATGAAAACTAGCATGTTCCATTGATTCCTTTTCACATTAAATCTCTGCTTTGGAAGAAAATTGATTTGATTTTTAGCCCATAGTAATTCTTCAAACACCCCAATATGAAGCTGCTCTTTTCCACCAGTTTTATTTCGAATGCTGAAGGTTGGGCATCCTAAGTCCAGAAAGATCTACTACAGCGTTTAGGAGACCTGTGCGCAGGGTGCTGGCTCTAGGTCCCGCTGAAGTCGCTGCAGCACAGCATTGAGCCTTGGGTCTGGATCCAGCGCGTTCTCTGGTTGCTGCGGCAACCGTAGCAGGCGTCACCCGTCGCTATGGCGCTCTGCACTTCGCAGCATGGCCGTTTCCTATTGGCTCAACCGCCCCGGCGAGGCAGAGGAAGAAGTGTCGGCATTGGT